AAAAAAAAAAAAAAAAAAATGCAAAACTGAGGCAGGGGATTGCCTCAAATCCTCCCCCCCAATTTTTTTTTTTTTTTGGAGACCGGGTCCCACTCTGTCCCTCAGGCTAGAGTGCAGTGGTATCATTGTAACTCACTACAGCCTCAAACTCCTGGGTTCAAATGATCCTCCTGCCTCAGCCACCCAAGTAGCTGGGACTACAGGTGCTCACCACCATACCCAGCTAATTTTTCTATTCTAGTAAAGACAGAGCTTTGCTTTTGCTCAGGCTGGTCTCAAACTCCTGACCTTAGGTGATCCTCCTGCCTCAGCCTCCCAAAGTGCTAAGATTACAAGCGAGAGCTACTATACCTGGCCCCTCCTCTAACTTTCTGTCCCCTCACTGCTCCAGCCTGCACACAGGGTCAGTGGGCTGACATCACCCCCTGGACTCATTTATTCTACCTGGGGATTCCTGGCTATTGGGCTACTATCAGCAGGCCCCTAACACGATGATTAAGACAAATTACAAAGCACCTAATTAAATGGATGAAACTGGTGCTGGAAGTGTATCCAGAAGAAAACTGTTTGAGCTTTGGTTGCTGGGAAACAGGCTCTAGACTGTGTCTAATTTGGGGACAATCTACAGTGAACCCAGGTAATTAAAAGAGACATGGAGGGGGTGAAAGTTAGAGTGCAGTATCTTTCAGGGCCTTTCTGTCTTCTAAAAACTTCTATGGATATTGTTATTGCAGGTACACAAGAAAGAGGTAAAAAAGAGAGACCTGTTTTTACACCAGATCTTCATTTCTGTGTAGGGCTTTTCATCGGGGGTGAAGGTTGAGTGATTTTCGGGGAGTACAAGATGAAGTGGGCTGCTAAAAAGTTCTCTCTGGGGCAAAAGGAGAGAGGGCTCAATCTGAATCCAGAATTCGAGCTTGTGCACTAGATGTTTATGTTACAAGCACTGTGTCAGGCAAGGCAAGAGAGTAAGTATTAACTCAGTTCCTGCCTTTGAGGGGACCACTATCTATCTAGCTAGAGACATGGGCTAAGAATGCCTGAAAAATGAAATCACATCTGTGTTTCTTGCAAAGTATTCTCTTGAGTCTCCTTGTTTAACTGGGGCAGATTCCAAGGCAGAGACCAGGTCTCTCCCATTGTAATGAGCATTTCTTCTAGTTCGTCCCCATTGCCAGAGCTCAGGTCAGGGTTTTAGGAACACAATGGGTGTTTGGGCTGTGGGTAGAGCTGACAGTAGCCTCTGTTGAACTCTTGCCAAGGAGCCAGGGCCAATTCTAACACCCCCTCCACTCTGTACCCATCTGCAGGGAAGACCAGCTCAATGGGGAAATTAAAAACGCTGCAATCCTTCTAATCATATCCAGGCATCCTCCCCAGCTTGACTCCCCGGCATGCAGCCCATCTCCACCCAGCACAAGTGCTAACTGGGAACAACTGCAAACAACTTCTAAGCACACATGGGTGGAAGGGTACTGAGAGACAGAGGCCTGGACCATGCACTCTGGTGTGAATGTAGTAGCACCAGGAGCCACTGTGCCACCACCTTTCTCTATGGATCTTATATAGGGCTCATCTGGCCTTAGCAAGCAGCCCTTAGATCTGGGCAAGTTGCCCATTCCATCAGTCTTCCTGTCCCTAGCACGTCTGTCCTGGGTGCCAGCACTGGTCACTTTTTCTTTTTCTTAGTGGACTGATCGAGATGGCTAGAAAGAGAAGATAATGAGTAAGGAAGGGATGTTCACAGGTCTGTTTCTCTCAAACTTGCAGCCTTCCTCCCTGAGGTCAGCTTTCCCTCCAGGGAACAGACAGGACTGGGAGATGTAAACCCCCTCCCTAAAGGGAGAGCCTACAGAGCAGATTCAGGGCAGGGAGTCAGGGTGGGTGATACCGGGTATAGACACAGAGTCTGAAAGCAAAGGAGATCCAGAAGGTGGTGTCCTGGTGAGGCTGAAATTAGCACAAAGGCAGTGGCAGTCACTCTGTGACAGTGTTTGGTCCTAGGTAGGTGCTCAATGGATGTTCTGGATCTTCAATGGCCACTTGGAAAGCAGAGTGAGGCTTTCCAAAGCGGGATGAGGCTGTGGAAGTGGGGTTCACTGACACCTGGGGGCCAGAATTAGGGTAACAAGGTGGTGGTTGACAGCTGTCACATGATGGGGTAGACTCTGCTGCATCTACTATGGCTTGGAAAAGAACCGTTAAGGGGATGCCACTGGGTCAGACCTAACTGCTCATAATTCTAGAAGATTCTCTGGGGCCCAGTCTGTGTTCACTTCCTAAGAAGGCAAGTGACTAGCAGACATAGGTGAACACCCTTCTCTTGGGGACACCAACTCTTTTTTTTTTTTTTTTGAGACAGAGCCTCAAGCTGTCCCCCTGGGTAGAGTGCTATGGCTTCACTGCTCACAGCAACCTCCAACTCCTGGGCTCAAGCAAGTCTCCTGCCTCAGCCTCCCAAGTAGCTGGGACTACAGGCGCCCACCACAACGCCCGGCTATTTTTTGGTTGCAGCCATTATTGTTGTTTGGCAGGTCCGGGCTGGGGATTCGAATCCGCCACCTTAGGTGTATGTGGCTGGCGCCTTAGCCACTTGAGCCACAGGCGCCAAGCCGACACCAACTCTTTATAGCTCAGCTCCACCTCTCTTGCCTCCAAGGGTTGAAATGATTCCAGAAAGCAGCAGAGTCCTTCCTGGTCTGCCTGTGGGGGAAGTGGGTAGGGGATAGGCAAAGGAATAGCTAGAAACTCCCAACTTTAAAAGATCAATTAATTTTAGCAGCGGTCAGGGCCCTCTAGTTTCAGTTTTTAGTAATATTTTAGTGTTTTTGTTTTGTTGGGGGAGGGTTGGCTTCTAGTCCATAGCTTTCTGACCTTTTCCATACCATGACACACATAAAAATAATATTTGCTTGGCACACTGGGGAGAACTGGAGAAGAGCTGAGTTAAAGTTGAAGTTGCTGACAGATGAAGTTGCTGACAGCTGGAGTTGACCAACCCAGAGGCTCTGGCCATCCCAGTCACCCTGAAGGCTGAGGGCAGCGGTATCTCACATGGTCGGGAAGCTCTTGCAGTCAGCCCACTACACAATGAAGCCTGAGACGGGCTTCCGGAAGTTGGACAGCTTGTCAGGGTTTAATGGGCAGCAGATGATGCTGGGAATTAAGACTGAACTGTTTCCATGGCAGATTAGGGAGAACTCCCAATCTTTCTACCCACACTTAGAGCAGAAACAAAGCAGGAAATGATGGAGACAATATTAAGAAACCAGCTCCCTTAGGCCACTGGTTAAATGATGGATTTCTTATCCCATGTGCGCATTTTGTGCTGACACAGACACCCCTGAGTTTGCTGTGCTTAGATGAGGAGCTTCCCGGCCTTTCTACCTTGTGATGACGGGGAGGAAAGCTACCTGTCATTTGAGGCAAACCGTGATGGGAGAAAGACATTGAGAATGTGCCAGGATTTGTAAAAAAGCCCTCACCTTCTTAGGCCATTTCCAGATACCAGAACCAAAGACTGGAAAAGGTATTACCAGGTCCTCAATTTGGCACCTACCTAGACAGGATCTGCCCAAGTCACCAAAGAAAACCTCAAATGATTAAAAATCAAGGGGCATTGGAGGATTCTGCTATCTTTGAAACAGAGAACCAAGGCAGGCTTGTGGAGACCCTCAGAATGGACAGGTTTACCAGAGTCCATGGAAATGAAAACGCTGACCTCACCTTTGTCATCTCTTAGGCTCCCCAACCTATTTGCTTCTCTTTCCAATTCTCACTCCATTCAAATTTCAAAGATGTCTTCAACTTCTCTCTTAACAGTGGTGCTCTCAGGAACCCACACACACACAGGAACCCACACACTATGTGTATCCTGCCATTAGTGTGACCTGTTGTTTAGTAACTGCCTCGTCCTCAGACTCTACACTACATGAGTGCTTAGCACAGTCCCTTGTACACAGTAAGCATTTAATAATTAATTGTTGAATAAATGAATAATCGCTACCAGGATATGCCAAGCATTGGGCTATCCATATCATCTCTAATCATCACAAAAAGCTACAAGGGATAGAATACAAGCCCATTTTATAGGGAAGAAAACCAAGGCTGCAGAAGGCCAAGGGTGTAATCTAAGGTGAACCCATGGATACTGATTCCAAAGCTGGGGGCTGCTGATTATTGTCGACTCTATGCTGTACCCTCTTTGGCTCTTTGGGTCTCATTGCTCACGTTCAGGCAGCATCCACTATCACCCAGGTCTTGGCACACCTGTGCGGGGCAGGTGTTCACACAGACAAATGCTGACAGTGCAGAGGCAACAGACTCACAGTCCCGTCCCCCCCGCCCCCGGCCTTGAGATCACAGGTGGTGATCAGGATAGAACTGGTGTTATCTATTAGTAAAAAGTGCCACAACCAAACATGCAAGCAGGCCACCCGAGGAAGCAACGGGGCACAGGGCTCCTGGCAACCTACCGGCATAGTGGTAATTTGCTAAAGGATGACATTTTAACCTGACTGGCTTCCGAAGCAGCAGCATTTCCAGAGCAGCCTGCAAACCCAGGGGAGAGAAAAGGCAAGAGTCAGTCACAGGTCTGTGGGTCCTTGGAAGACTGTTTACCCAAAGGAGGAACGGGGTCAGCACTGCACAGGCTAGGGTGGGGGAACTAGAAGGAAAACCAGAGGGAAACTGCCCCAACTGGGGCTTCCTTTTGTTCAACATCCAACAAGTCTCATCATCCTAACACCCTCCCCATTCTGCCTGCTGGTCATGTCCCAGAAAACAGCCAAGACTGGACTCTTTCTTCCGTGAGGGCCTGCCAGCCTCAGACAGATGGGTGGGGCCTCCTCTGAATGGAGGCTGAGTCTCTGGGGAAGAGCTCTGAGGAAATGAGTGGGTGATTTGTAACTGTTCTACAGAAAAATTCCAAGTTTCACTGCAATTGAACATAAACAGCTGCATTAGAAATAACTCCTGCACATCATCCTTCCAGGGGGCCCAGCAGCTAGGTGCTAGCTAAATAAAGTCTTTCAAATCTGCCTCCTTAAACCTCCTTCACTTTAAAAAAAAACAATGCTACAGGTAGAGTTGAACAGTGGCTGGTTTAGGGGCCTAGAATTTTTTTTTTTTTTTTTGAAACAGTTGCTGTGCCCTGCATAGAGTGCAGTGGCATCACTGTAGCTCACTACAACCAATTCCTGGGCTCAAGTGATCCTCCTGCCTCTGCCTCCTGGGCAGCTGGGACTACAGGCATGTACCATGATGCCCAGCTAATTTCTTTCATTTTTAGTAGAGATAGGGTCTCACTCTTGCTCAAGCTGGCCTTGAAGTCCTGAGCTCAAACAAACCTCCTGCCTCAGCCTCCCAAGAGTGCTGGCTAAGACCCAGGATCTTGCTACTCTACATGTAGTCCATCCATCAGCAGTACTGGAACCACTTGGGAGCTGATCAGAAACGCAGAACTTGGGCCTCAATTCAGATCTGCTAAATCAGTATCTGCATTTTAACGAGATTCCCCAGGTGATTTGTGTGCACAGTAGAAGTTTGAGAAGCAAATAGGTGGCTCATGCCTATAATCCCAGTGCTTTGGGATCACTTGAGGCCAAGAATCTGACCATCCTGGGCAACAAAGCAAGATCCTATCTCTACAAAAATGTAAAAAAAAAAAAAAAAAAACCCCAAAACAAACAAACAAAAAACTAGGGGGGAGTGGTGGCATGTGCCTATAGCCCCAGCTAATTGGGAGGCTGAGGCAGGAGGATCACTTGAGCCCAGGAGTTCAAAGCTACAGTGAACTACAATGGTGCTGCTGCACTCTACCAGGATGACAGAGCAAGACCTTGTCTCTTCAAAAAAAAGTTCAAGAATTGCTACTCTGCAACCCTGATCTCAAACATTTAAGGATAGTTCTCCAACATTTTAGAAAATACCGGAAGGGTATCATAGTATTGAGACATTTGTTTATTTTCACATTTTCATAAAATCAAAATGCAGTCAGCTAGATTTGATACCAGGAAGAACCGTGTGTGTGTGTGTGTGTGTGTGTGTGTGTGTGTATAGATAGGGTCTCACTCTTGCTCAGGCTGGCCTTGAAGTCCTGAGCTCAAGCAAACCTCCTGCCTGACTGCCTCAGCCTCCCAAGAGTGCTGGCTAAGACCCAGGATCTTGCTACTCTACGTGTAGAGTGTGTGTGTGTGTGTGTGTGTGTATATATATATATAAATAAAAGAAACTGAGGTTAGTGACTGAGTGCTCTGGCCAGGCTAAACAGTCAACTGACAGCTCTGAGTCTGCAGAGACAGCGCCAAGGCTCAAGTTGGGGGACATCTGCAGAACCATGATAAAGGTAGAAGAATGGAACCAGGTGTACACAGTAAACATTATTTTGATTAGAGGAGAAGAGTTCCATAAACACCAAACTTTGGCTGATTTCCATAGTCGGGAAGAATAATCAGCTGAGTATAATAGGGTATTTTAGGCTGACTCTTGTTTAAAAGGCCTTCTACCTCCATCACTATGGACTCAGTTTTCTGATGTAAAATACAGGACAATGAAAAGAAATTCTGTTTTCTAGGACAGAGGTTCCCACAGTTGTAACTTAGGAACACATGTGTAAACATAAGTCCATTGGAGACTTTCCTCCTACAGGCTCTTAAATTCTAACTCACTCATTGAGATGAGGAACATGGAGGTCTGATCATCACTTTATGAGCAGACTGTATGGTACATGGACAATATAGAAACTTGGGACAATCCTCTTTCAGAATTCTGATGAGAACAGTATGAAGCTTGAAGCCTTGTTGTCATAGTTCCTTACCATCACATCACCTTTGGCCTCGAACAGAGAATGCAAAGCAAATTCAGAATTGGTCCCTCCACCTGGCAATGCACTCGAACAGCACAAATTTAGAAGATTCTCCACTGTTGGGAACAAGGAGAAGCCATTGCATCAGAGAGAGCCCAGTATCCCGAAAAAACACACCAAACCTGGAGCCAGTAATCTCAAATTAAGTCTTTCCGCCCACCTCTTCCCACATGCCAATACCTCTTTGCTGGAGATCATGGTTTTCCAGCTCTGGCCAGGGCTTCCATACTAATGTGGCCTTGTGTGTGTCCTGGGCCAGAGCAGAGACATCCTGGAGTTCTGGGATCTCTGCCTGGAATCTCAAGCCAATGTTGATGCGTCTTTAATGACAAGAAGAAAAACAACAAATAGTATAGTCTTTAATTTCATGGCCCAGGCCAAAGGCAATGGTCAGGAACTTGAAAAAGAAGGAAACCAGTTCCTTCTGTAAGAAGAATGCAAGGGCATTTCCTCATATTGTGACCCTAAGATTCCAGGCATGGCTTTTATCACTGGGATAAGGAACAGCTTTAAGATTGGAGAGAGATGTTTGGGGAGCAAGAGAGCAACCAGCCTGGGACTTCACATAGCTCCCAGTAACTGGGAGAGGAAGGGTAGCTACTTCCAAGAGAGCAGCTGCCCAGAGCATGGCTGATGGCATCTTTTAAACTGAAAAAAAGGTACAAATGCAAAGCATTTATTTCATTTTTATCTCTTTTAGGCCATTTCACATATATTATCCCATCTGAACCTCACAAAAATCTATGATATAAGCAAGGCAGTTATAATTATTCCATTTAAATATAAACCAATGAAAGCCTAGAAAAGTTAATTTGATGAAGAACAGACAACAAAACAGTGCCAGAACTCAGGTTTTCTGATTCCTGACTGAATCTACTTATCATGCTACCACCTGGCTGCTTTTCTGGGCTTACCCATGAAAAAACACCTTTCCCTTCCATGAGATATTCCATTGGATAATTCAAGCATTTAATAAGCCCATTTGGAGACTGGCCAAGAATCTGAGAAAGGGGATGGGGAAAGTGAGGACATTCATAAGGTGCCTTTTATGGAGGTGGGCAACCCAGGAAAAATGCCTTAGTGTCAATGAGAATATTAAAATACATGGCTACAATCAGGCTGGCCTGGGAAGCCAGAGATGGGGACACTAAGTTCTCTGGATACGGGGCTTCATGCTTTTACTATACATTTAGTTTTTGACAAAGGCCTTGTACTACTGTACAGGGAAACAATAACACCCAGGAAATAACTATGATCCCTTAATTTAGAACTTCTCTCTCAGTGTACTCTCTGACTATGGAAATACTAACTACACTTCTCAAGAAGCTTTTCCTTACGGTTCAACATCCACGGTCTGCTCTCCAGGCCCTGGGGTGACTGTCACATTGCTGCCATCAATGCTGTCTGAAACACAAAAACCAGAGATGACTGGTCAACAGGGAAGGGCGGTTGAAGAAAGTAAAGCAAATGGGCAATTACCTAATCAGTCATAATAGGACTCCTTTCCGAGCGACCCAAGCCAGAGTTACCCCCAACAGTCCTCAGGGAGCTGAAGGGAGTCGTTTGCCCATTTCTTACTCAGAGTGAGAAGCCTCCTGGCCCACATATGTCTGCTAAGCTACAAGGTATCTATGCAACCACTCTTGCTCCAGAAAGACATCCTGGCTACTGACCTCTCATGGTTGATTTTTATCAAGCATGCAGAAAACGTCAAGGCTTGATCATGGGTGTGGTCTTTTTTTTTTTTTTTTTAAGATACAGAGTCTTACTTTATCACCCTCACTAGAGCGCTGTGGCATCACAAATAACAGCAACCTCCAGCTCCTGGGCTTAGGAGATTCTCTTGCCTCAGCCTTCTGAGTAGCTGGGACTACAGCCGCCCAGCTATTTTTTGTTGCAGTTTGGCTGGGGCCACCCTCACTATGCGGCCAGCGCCCTACCCAGTGAGCCACAGGTGCCGCCCGGTGATACCTCATTCTATTTGCACCGTCATCCAGGGCATGGTCTTAGGTAGTGGGTGCACACTTCAATTGTTTCCTTACAGTGATCACTTGTGCATTTGTCGCCCTAGTAACACCAGGATTTCCTTTTGGATAAAGTCTGTATCTTTCTCATTCTAGGTCTTTCTTAGCACCTAGCAGTGTCAGGTACACTCCACAAAAGTCTGGGATAAATGAGAAAACTAAAGAAAGTGAGGCCTCCCAGGGCACTACCCAGCACGGATAGGAGCAGATCCCCAGGGTCCCCAAGGAGGCCAAAAGGGGTGACTCACTGGAGCGACACAGCAGCACCCGCGGCGTGGGCGTCAGGGGCGTCAGGGGCAGCTGGGGGTGGGCGCCGGGGCCGTGCCCGGAGATGAGGACATTGCTGAAGAGCCCCGAGCCCTGGCGCACCGGGCTCAGCATGGGCGGGGGCGTGTAGGGGGGCAGCTCGTGGGTGGGGTCCAGGAGCAGGTGGTCCCCCAGGACGCGCGGTGAGCGCAGCTGGCTCTGGTAGAGGGTGGCGCCCGAGTAGGAGGCTGCCGGGACCGGGTTGTAGGAGGGCGGCGGCGGGATGAATAGCGGCTCGGGCCGGTGCCGGAACTTTTTCTTCTCCTGCACGGTCTTCAGGGGCTCCTCGGCTTTGGGTGGGCCGGGCGGATGCTTTCTGGGGATTTCCTAAAACAGGAAGAGGGCGCTGATTAAATCCATAGGCTTTCCCTCACAGGCCATTAAATGCACAGGATCCAGAAAGGGGTTTTTCTACTGTCCTAACAGGGGCTCCTCGCCGCATCACTCCTCCCACGCTGACCACATCCATTCCAGGCAAAGCGAGTTCCGGGGCTTGACTCGGGAAAAGAAAACTTTGATTTTCCCTACTGTCTGGAAAGAGCTGGGTTGGTAAGAATAGTGGGCGAGACAGAAGCAATAAATTAGAATTCTTGATTGCTTATCACTACATTCCCATCGGATTGAATGGAATTCAGCTGAGTGGGCTCTTTAATGTCCCCCCGTTCTCCAGGGACAGACATCAGGGACAGATACCACATGTTCTGAAAAGCGGGCAGAATAATCTATTCAGGGAGGCCGGGGCTGAGGCAGTGGGGCAGGAAGAGGAGGTTTGCGCCTAGCCAGGGCTCCCGGGGCCAGCAACCTCCACTGGGCCCTCCTAGGTAACGTTCAGGATGGGGAGAGCCATCTGTGATCGTTAAGGACCCGTTAATGTGCTCTCCTAAAAGACGGAACTGGATAGCCTCCCCCTCACCACCCGTCGCTAGTGCTCCCAGAACTGGCGGCTCATGTGTAGCAAGCCCTTCTCCTGGTTTGGCTTCCTGTCAGCGGAGTTAGTTTGTTCTAACGGCAGCGGAACCAAGCTCAGTCTGGAAGGAAGGAAGATTTGCCACATGGATACATATATACCAATAGGTAAACAAATGCACGTAAATAGAGAAGCAGGGCATGCCGAAGCCAAACAGAAACAGGCTTAGAAGTGTGCTAGCATCAGTCCAGAAAGTTAAGAGCTGGGTGTGGCTGGGAGAGGCGGTGCCATACCTGCAGAAAAGTTCTAGGGAGTCTGTGGTACCCTCCCAGGCCCTGTCAGCCAGCGAACAGTCACAGCCACAGTTCCTGGTGATTCCTGTGCCCAAGGTGGAGCCTGAGTAGGAGGCAGCAAGGGGTGATGGGAAGGGTTGGCCATGGTCATGTGACCAGCTGTCTCCATGCCATGTGACCTGCTCCTCTGCCTCTAGCTCCTCTTGCTTCTAGCACCTCAGGCTCTGCCCCCTCCTAGTCTTCCGAGATGCTCCCTCACCTCTAGGAGGGGCCTCCGGGAGGACAGCGGGCCTCCGCGTGAGGTGCAGAGCCCCTCCTCGCCTGCAGGGGGCTCCCCTGCCCCCGCCGCCGGCCCCTCCGCCCCCTTTGCCCACCAGAGGGCTCCTCGGCATCTCGGGCTGAGGAGAATGGGGAGAGGCCCAGGCCCCTCAACCGGGGAGCAACCGTGTTGCTGGGTAACTGATGAGGTCACCTAAGTACATGCAGACTCATGTGATCTCAGCCCTGCACTAGAATCCAGACCTCAGCACAGGGCTCCCTCTCCTCGGCCTTCTGTCCTGTTTCTTGAGCTAAAAGCCCTGATTTTCTGATCCCCCAGGCCAGGCTGAGAGCCACCGGGCCAGTGAAGCCACCCACTGTGCCCACCTGGATGTCACTTAAGAGGAAGCATTTACACCGTTCCACACCGCCAACGATCTGGACTCTCTGAGGACAGGGCCACGCCCTGAGAGATGAAATAGCTCTTGCCCACAGAGAAGGATGAGAACCACTGATGAGTCCAATCCCCTCCAGGTCAGGGGCAGAAACTGGGGCTCAAACAGGAGGAGGTCGCAGCTGTTTTCATTCCAGCTGGCTAGGAGCAGGGCTGGGATTAGAATGCTTTAATTTCTTTACATTACATGCCAGGACCTTGCTCACAGTTACTCTATCCCACCTGTGTACTTCCATTTCAGCCTGTCTCCTCACCGATGCTGTCTCCCTCACCCTTCCATTAAGTCAAGTTCATCCCTTCCTTCAAAACTCCCTAATTATGGTCTCCTGAGCAAACCCATACCAAACTCCCTTGCCTCTCCCCAGCCCTTAATTACTTAAGCTACCCAGGTGTCATCCTATCCAGCCTCACCCAGGCACTGGGTTCTCATATGCCCTCGTCCTTCTCTCACCATCTTGAATTGAGAGTGGGTGGTGTGCTGCTTGGGACTCTAACTCCTGTGGGACTAGGAACCCTTGATCAAGACCTCCCCAAGGGTAGAAACTGTCTCTGCTCTGGGCAAAGAAGGCGCCTGATCTTGGATACATCATTTCATTTCCCTGCCTGTCACTGGCCCAAGTCCTGCTTACTTAGGAGAATCTTCACCCAGAGGGTCTCCATCAGGCTCTCTCCTTCTTAGACCTTGATATTACACAAGGAACCAGAAAGGTTCTTTCTGGACTTTGCTAATTCTCTTAATTACCATCCCTGCCTCTATGCTGGCCCAGTCCTACCTTCATGCCTCCTGATTTTCCACAGCCACCTATTCTCTAATGACAAATCTGACCCAACACAGCACTTTGTAGGAAGGGGATAGGTCTGATACAGCCAACCACATAAATGCTCTAGGGGTAATAAATGAGGGGGTCGGGAGAGAGAGAGAGAGAGAGAGAGAGAGACTGCTCCACAGCCAAGCTAAGCTGCTTGGGTGAAGCACTTAGAACTTGAGACAGAGGAGAACTGAACACTGAGTGAGAAACACACATCTCTTTGCTTTCCTGAGACCGGGGGTGGGTGGCTTTCAGTGGAACTATTTTGAGAACTTTAACATATTACGTTCTCTGGGGTATTAGAGCAGGTGTGATAATAAAATATTAAGCATCTGGTAAGGGTGATCATCAGACTAGATTCCAGGGCTTGCCTGGAGGCCATGCTGTACCATGGGTTACTTTTCTAGTTGGTGGATTTGGGAGGTCTGGAGATCTTGGGGAAGGGGCCAGACCCTGGGGCAATAGCTATTTATTAATTGGGGCAGTATTTCCATATTTTAGTAACTGGTATGGTTGTTATTAGTGATTACCAGCTGAATTATCATCTATGCTTAAACCTGGGAATATCTTCAGGTCTTTCAGAATCTAACCCAGACCAGCAGCCTGGTAGAGTAACAGGCATTAATGGGCCGGGGGCAGTGTGGACAAGGATGGCTTGCCAAGGTGGCCACAGAGGCTCAGCCCTGAGAGGCAAGTGACTTTCGGAGAGCCACCCCATCTCTAAGAAAGCAAAGGGATGTCCCCACCCCAGGCAGGTGGGCCAGAGCAGCAACTCACAGCAGGCGTGCGGGGGGCAGCCCCTTGGGGTGAGTGTGGGGGAGAGAGGGTCATCCTCACGAGCACAGGCATCTCGTCGTCCGACATCGAGCTGGCTGGCTTGTCTCTGGCGGAGGGGGCGGCAACGGTGCTGTTGGTGAAGCCCTGAGAGCTGGGCTTGGGTGGGAGAAGCTTGACAGGGACAGACACGGGCATGACCATAGGTGTGAGGCTTTCTGCCTCAGGAGGGAGCTGCGGTGGCGGCTGGGGCGGAGGCGGCAGTGGCGGCTGGGGCGGAGGCGGCGGGACCTTCTCTCCTTCCTCCTACACAGACAATAAAGGCTTTGATCCTGGGCTAAGAGCAGCTCTCACAAAGGGGGGATACACTTTGCTTTTCCTGAGAGGCTTCAGGTGTGGGAACAGAGAACCACTGCAGGGTGATTCCTTCCTGCAACCCTGAGTCCTTTGGCTGGAGTGATGGTGGTTGGTGGTAGACAAGGCCGTGCCCTTTATTTTCCATGGGTAATAAATCTTGACCATGCATCACCTGTATATTAAAATATTGCCAACATTTTTTTTTGTGTGTGTGGCTGTAACTGCTTTTAAAGAAAAGGCCTGGGCTTATAATCAGTCCAAAAAATGTCTGATCTTGTGTAGGAGTTTTTAATTCTATGGGTCTTGGTCTACTCATTTGTCAGTGGAAATAGGCATTCCATGCTAAATTTTATCCACATTGGGAAGCCACATTGGAAATGCAAAACATGTTACTTTTAACAAGTGAAGACAAAGCTTTTTAAAATTTTTTTTTTGAGACAAAGTCTCAAGCTGAATGCTGTGGCGTCACAGCTCACAGCAACCTCCAACTCTTGGGCTTAAGAGATTCTCTTGCTTCAGCCTCCCAAGTAGCTGGGACTACAGGTGCCCGCCACAACGCCTGAATATTTTTTGTTGCGGTTGCCTGGGCTGAGTTCGAACCCGTCAGACTTTGTGTATGTGGCCGGGGCCCTAACCACCGAGGTATGGGTGCCGCCAAGACAAAGCTTTTTTAAAAACATCTGTCATGGCCAGGAGATGGGGTGATCTGGGTAATCCAAAATTTTGGTTAACAGAGAGTTAAAAGACTTAAATTAAGAGCAACAATATTTAAAGAATTCTGAGAAAATTATTTGAACTGTAAAACTCATGCTACCTAGATATCCTACCTAAATAACCCAGATGGTATTTAAGGAGCTTTGGATGTTAAAGCCAAACACCACTGCACTGGTGAACTGAAAATTCTTTCTCTAGCTATTGGCCACTGATCTGGAAGACCCCAGTGGCTGTGGTCTTGGGTGCTTCAAGCAGAAGTTAAAAATAATATTGCACATTTTCCTTTGCTGTCTTCTCAGGATAGAGAGGCTGGGATCCCTTAGAAGTCTTTCTAGAAGCTCTGTTTTGACCCTTGGAGGAGTAAGGGCTGTTTGACCTGGCTGGCTCCCTGGGTCAGAGCTGAAGCATTCCTGCCAAGAGAGGACAGTACCTCTCCTCACAGGGCTCACCTCACTCTGTCTCATGGCGGCAAAGCAAAGCAAGCAACACATGGCCTGGGAAGGACTGGACACTGGCTCCTGCTAACCTGTTTGAGGCTGGGGGAGGCCCTCATTCCCCCGTGGGACCGCATGTGGCCATTCAGGGCAGGTAGGTTCTTGAACTCCTTCAGGCAGATGGAGCACGTCAGCTTGTTCTTGGCATCAAACTGCTCCCCAAATACTCCTTTGGCTTGGCCACTGCTCCAGGGTAGGGCCAAACAGAGAGGACAGACATGTTGAGAAGGGGAAGCAGTGACGTCACAGGACCTCATACCCTCAGCTAGCCCATTTTATTCATCCAGTGCTCCCAGGTCCAAGGCCTCACTTTTATTGCCCCCATACTCTTCAGAGAACTAAGCCCAATTTACAGATGAAAAACTGAGACTCGGAGTGGGAAAGATCTTACTCAAAGTCATGTAAGAGTTGAACAAAATGTCCTTCTTCATTCCAGGCCTCCAGGCACTGGGTTTTCCCCATCTATGGCTCTAATGATCTTTCAGTCACCGGGAGCCCACCTTCTCTAAAAGCCAAGTTCATAGAGACTTGTCTAAGTCCTCTGGGGCAGCCTACACATAGCACATTTCAGCAGTTTCTCAGGTTCTGGCTAAATCTCTAGATGCCCATCAGAGGAGTAAGCAAGTCTATCCTATTCACCACTGCATTCTCAAAGCCTTGCTCTATGCCTGGCACTCAATACATGTTCACTAAATGGACAGTGGACTGAACACAGGCTTTGGAGTCAATCGCAGTGTGGTTACTTACTTGATGGTAACAGTGAGCTCTCTGAACCTCAGTTTTCTCATTTGTAAAATAATAGCGAACAGTTATTCGTTGCTAACTATGTGCAGGCAAATGGTAATCGTAGCTACCTTCACTGGGTTACTTCATTACAAAGCATGACATACAATACCTAGGATACAATGAATGTGCAAAAACAAAAGCTCTATTATTATTTTTACACACTTCTTCAAGGAACTGACCTTGAGTTTAGAAATAAAGCATGACAAACAACTCAGGAAAACTTCTCCCAAAATACCAACAAACCTCCACTCAACCTACCTTGACTCAGGGGACCCTGGCTGGGCTCTCCCATCAGGTAGGTGCATCTAATTTTGAGCCAAGCAGGACACCGAAAAAGAAGAAGAGAAAAAAATGTGTTTCTGAAAGGAGGTGTCCTCCAGTGGCAGACCATGGAGATGGCCCCTCTCTCCACCTCCTGCCAACCCCGCTCACATCCACATATGCCTCTTTCTTCCACACCCCACTTTTTTCATTAATTGTTCTCTGATTTGGGACCACTGCCTCACTCTTGCAGCTGCTGCCAGCCAGAAACTCACAATCTCCCACCGCATACTGTCCTATTGTCCCAGTGCACAGACAGGCTCCATTCCCACTAGGGACACAGACAGAAATGCTGGCTGACACAGCATCGTGTAGAGAGACCTGCTGGAATTCTTTCTTAAAATCCTTGGGCGTGTCATCTCATTTTTATGTTCACCAAAGCTCTCAGTGACTACCAGCTCTGAACCTTAGACAAAACTAAGTCAGGTGGAAGTTCATCTCTGGCCCTCAATCTCCACCAGGGGCCTCTCTCACCCAACCAGTCCCTATTTGGGGTCTTCTCCTCCCAAGAATCTATTGTCACATGAGTGTAGCACTTGGAACATGGCAAGACATGAACAGCGCCTAGCACAAAGTAGACCATTTTGTGGTCAAATACTTCTGGGAACTAATCAAGGCTTAGCCATGGTGCATAGGATGAATCTGGCCTGCAGACATGTTTTGTTGTTGTTTTTTTAATCCTGAATGAGCATGCCATTGGATAGGGCATCTGCTCTCTAGTCTACCACTGTTGCTACCACCCCCTACTATTTCATACCAGACTGTTGTGCTTATTCACTTTACCAGTCTGGATCCTGTGAATAGCTAAGGTTTTTATCTCTGCAACTATGAGAGGTATCCTTTTGGGAAGATTCACAATGCATACTAGCCCATTAAAGGCCACAAGAACCCCTGCAGTATAGTAACCTACTTCACTTTAGGAAACCCCAAATTTATTTAGCCTGAGAATCCATTGTTTCCTTAGCAATATCCATGAAATATTCTGTGGGACTGCTGTTCTGAGCAAATATGTTTTGAGAAATGCTGTCATTATGGCTCCCTACCCAAGGGGGCCCAAATATAGATCCAAGGGGCTGAGATATCCCCACTGGGTGGTCCCCTGACATCTGACTTAAGGTCTTAATCATTACATGATCATTTAGGACATCTTCTTAGTGTAGTTCCATGAGCAAAGGACTACATCCAAGTTGATTTTGTATTCCAAAATCTGGCCTATCTATGTCTAATGCCTGGCATGGACAGTGCTTGACACATACAGGTTAATATCTGTGGAATGAATAAAGAAAAAAAGCGTTGAAGGGGATGGAGAGAGGACTGGGCACTGCAAAGACAGCCCTAGATGACCCTGTAACACACTGAGGTACTGGGAGAAACTTCCACTGGGCGCATACCTGGGGCCACATGGCACCGGGAGACAGCTGCTGATGCTGAGGCCCCATGTTGTTGAGGTGGACTCCACTGGGGGACAGGAACGGTCGATGAGGGAGGGCACTGCTGACACGGGTTAGGTCCGAGCTTGCTGAGTCTCCCATTCCCGTGTCAGGAGGCCCCAGGTCCCCGTGAGAGCTTGGCATAGCCTGGGCCTGCCTGTCGCTGGGATAAGTCTTTAGCTGACTATCGTCACGCTGCTGGTGCTGGGGCAGGTGGCTCTGCTGGTAGAGGGGATGGCTGTAGGACTGCTGGGGCTCTTGGTAGTAGTATTGGGGCATGGAGCCCAGCTGAATCAGCTGCACAGCGTGCGCCTGCTCCGGGGTGTACTGGTGTGGGTCCCTGTGATAAGAAGGGGGCTGCAGGTGCATCTGTGGCTGCTGCTGCTCTTGCAAGTGCTGCATCATGGGTTGGGACTGATAATACTGAGGTATCTGCATTGAACCCTGCCGCTGCTGCAGCTGGAGCTGCTGCTGCTGCTGCTGAGGCTGTGCTGGGCGAATCTGCTGTGGCTGCGGTTGCATTTCTTGCATGGAGAGACGCTGCTGCCCACCTTGCTGCTGCTGCTGTGGGTAATACTGGTGCTGCTGCATCTGTTGCATGTGCTGTGACAGCATCTGTGGGGCCTGCAATGGCTGTCCTCCCTGCCCTGGCACCTGAGCCAGTGGCTGCTGGTAGTCATAATATAGGTGCCCTTGGGGAGGGTGCTGCCCCACCTGAAGAGCTGGCTTGGACAGCCCACCAGTGAAGCCAGGGTGAGGCTGCTGGGCCACCTGCTGGTAGCGAGAAGTTATAGCCGGTGCTGGGGGCTCCATGGGCTTTTGAGACAGCAGCTGGCGGAGGGCACTGTCAGGGGCTCCATCCATCACTGCTGACTGGGTGTGCAGCACCTGGGCCATATTGTTGACCTGAATCCGCAGGTTTTGGTTGGCAAACACCTGGGTGAAAGAGTCCAGCTTGTGTAAGACACCGCTGGTAAGCTTCTGGGTCCGGATCTCACTGGCCTGGGAATAGGTATATTGGTAGCCATCAGTGGGCTCAGACTGGGCTGGTGCTCCCCACATCATATTTGAGTTGGCCAGGTTGCCACGCAGCTGGACATGGTTTCCAGACCCTGCATGGCCTCCCCATGCTCCCTGCCTTGAGGTATCCATTTGGCCAAGGTTTTTGGAGCCAACAGGCAAGCCCAGACCATCCCGTGTGTCTTGAGGGAAGTGGGGAGAGATAGGCGAGACCTGAGGGGCATCCATTCCACCCCCTGTGACTGTATTCCCATAGTTGTGGTTCAGCCCACTGTGGACGCCAAGTGGTGGCTGTTGGTAGAAAAGGTTTTCACCACTGTGGGCCACGTGGTTGGTCTTGTACAGTTGCTGATCCCCCATGGTGTCTGCTTTAGTTGCCGATGTCCAGCCACAAAACCATAAAAAAGGTAAATGAAACAAACCCAAAAGGACTGAGACCCTGAGAAGCTGAGAGAAAGTGTCTGCGCTACTCCACGGCTGACATGTCTGTGAATGTGGCTGGAGCCAGGTGTTCCTGGTGGCCTGTACCAACCATGTGCAGAGTGGGGGGTTTTACATTCTCACCCGGGCTAAGGTATGGACCAAACACCACTGTTGTGAGGAGAGGCCGCTCACACCTGCAAGACAAGATGCAAAAGACAGGAAAGGATTTACTGGATGTTCTGTGATAAGCAGTCGTATCTACTACGACCAGTTGTAAAAATGACTATACAACAGGAGACTTTCGATTAAAGATAGCCAGTGTTGGCTGGGTGTGGTGGCTCACACCTATAATCCTAGCACTTTGGGAGGTGAAGTGGATTGCCTGAGCTCAGGAGTTCAAGACCAGCCTGAGCAAGAGCAAGACCCCATCTCTAAAAAGTAGCCAGGTATTGTGGCTATTGTGGCCACAACATGTGGCCATGTAGTCCCAGCTACTTGGGAGGCTGAGGCAAGAAGATCGCTTAAGCCCAGGAGTTTAAGGGTTCCTGTGAGCTATGATGCCACGGCACTCTACCCAGGGTGACAAAGTGAGACACTGTCTCAAAAAAAAAAAGGAAATAAAAATTGCCCGTGTTATGCACTCCACACCCTTTACACTGACCCTGCAGATGTTGGCTCTCGCTTGAGATGCAAGTCTTGTACTTTCATGCCATTTTCAATGGCTCATTAGTTCATTGATTTGTTAATTCATTGTTTTGCTCATTGATTAATTCATCCGTTCTTCTGGGACTCTGCTATTGAAAGCCCAACACTATTCTAGGACCTGTGGGAAATACAAAGACATTTACGATGTGCATTAATCAATTTATCTGTTCTACAAATATTTATCAGACACTTAATAACTGTAAGGCACAATACTAGGAAGTGATTAAGACATGGGGCCTACTCTTAAGGAGTGCATTGCTAGAAGAGGTGATGAGTCACATGAATAACTATAAATACAAAGGGAGAGAGATGCGTGTAATAAGAGATACAGAAATCCAGCAATTCGGCTCGGCGCCTATAGCTCAACCGGC